TGATGATGATGATGATGATGATGATGCTGATGGGGATGATGATGATGATGATGATGATGATGATGATGCTGATGGTGATGATGATGCTGATGGTGATGATGATGACGAAGATGATGATCATGATGATGACAACCACGACGATGATAATGAGGCTAATTACTTGGATGATAATGATGATGATGTTTACGTTGATGATGATATCGAAGACTCGAATAATAATGATAATGATGACGATGATTATGATCACCATGATCAAGATGATCACCCGAAAGATGATGCTGATGCTGATGGTGATGATTTGATTGATGGATGGACAATTGAGACGAGTAACGAACATCGATTAAATTCGACGGGCAGGTAATTGAACAAAACGTTTGTTTGATCACGAAGAATCTCACATCCGGTCCCATTTAGGAACGCATCCTAATAAACTATTATGTGCATATTCCCTTCCCGAAGACATTTTTCTCCGTAATTAGTTTTTTTATATGTGGTGTATGGGCATGATTGTTAATCACCGGAGACGAACGTGATTTCCACACAGTCAGCATTCAGGAAGGGGGGGGGGCTGTGACCATACAAATGCTGCGTGGGAAGACGGGTGGCGGTGGAGCGGTTCGAACCCAGGATTCCCTGGGATCACAAGTTGGCGAACTAACCACTTGGCCACTACCACCCAGAGAAGTGTTCCTGTTTTCCTATCTTATTTTCTTCTATTCAGACGGAATTAGAGCAGTTATCCGTTTCGTTTCCATTCACATTTTTCGATCTAGGACGCATCGAGTCGTATCTCGTTATGCGCTATAGTATTTGCGATCTGAAGCGTCGAATAAAAACAACCACACAGAGATAGAGAGCGAGAAAGTGTGAGATGATGGTAGAGTGGTTAAGTCACCAACTTGTGACCTGGGAGTCCCGNNNNCCCGGGTTCGAACCACTCCACTACCGTCCACCTTCTTCATTTCTCTACTTCTCCAGGCAGCCTTTATATGGCTGCAGCTCCCTTCCTGAAGGTTGATTGTACATTTGTATATTCAATAAATAAATAACAAGGAAGTGAAAAGACATTGATTCTTCCTTACTTTATAGGTGAACTCAGTAAGCCAATGACTCGAGCACTCACTCAAGTAAATAAACACCCAAGGCTGTGCGTCGAACGAGTTCAAAAGAACTCAACTATGCATTTTCCACAACGAATGTCGCAGACAGAAATGTTGAAACTCTAATCGCCAAAACAGTGAGCACTCGAAGCATCACATGATCGTGCGCGTGCATGCGTGTGCGAGTGTGTGTGTGTCATTTTTGAGTGTGCATTCTCTCTCTCTCGAGTCAGTCTGACTGATGCTTTTGGTATCGATCTGGTTTTAGTGCTTCACACGGCGGATGTGTGTGCGTGTGGATTTTTGACAAACATGCGTGATTTGTGCTGTGATCTTACAACATGCCGCTTTCGTACGGATCGGAACGGGCCGCGCGATCCACATGAGACGTGCTTATATCAAACCGAGTTCATTGTGTAGCTCGACTGCTACGCGTCATAGATCACAAGGTATTCACGCCACAGAGGGAGAGAGATGTGTGTTCTAATCATGAAACGGTATTTTATTCCCCCACAGAGAGCGCAGTCAGGTCTCAAAACACAAAGGGTCATTTGATCGAAAACAATTTTTCCAAATGATTCTTCTGATAAATTGATGGCATTTTCAGTCTATTCAAAATTTGGCAAAATATGACCATATCTTTACCGCGGATGTATTCGATAGTTGCGGTTCTCTTTTCATCAATTTTCTCCTTCATGAAACAGTTTGTATTTCTTCAGGTAATGTCAACATCGATCGCGATTGTAATGTCATTAGTGCTTCTCTTCCCTCCGATCTCGGACTAATCTCTGCATGGGATTCTACCAACCATTTGTGCTTTAATGCTTCCGAAACTTCTAACCTCTCAGTCTCTCTTAAACATGTCTCCTTTTCTCCTCATTGATTTTTGATTCTCTGCCCCTTCGAGAGGAAAATTGGTTTTCTATTCCGCACAAAGCGGTTCTTAACACCCAAGCACCTTCTCCTTTTATACAAAGCTCAAATCCGCCCGATGCTCGAATATTGCAGTCACATATGGGGGTGAAGCTTCGTATTCCGCTCTTTCTCACCTCGACCGTGTTCAACGTAAGACCATCCGGCCGATTGACGAACTGCCTATAACTTTCACCTTGCAGTCGCTTTCCCATTGCCGAGTAGCTGCTTTATTATCTCTTTTCTATCGTTACTATTTTGGTTTCTGCTCTTCTGAACTCGCTTCAGCGGTTCCTCTTCCACTGACCTTTGCTTGTCCATCTTGTTCTCAGGCAAGTAGTCAACCTTCTCCGGTTTCTGTCCCCAGATTTCGGACTTCTATCTTCTTCAATCTTCTCTTCTCTCGAGGACTGCGAAATTGTGGAACACTGTTCCCATTTCCGTGTTTCCCAGCTCTTATAATCTTACCCTTTTCAAAAGCAGAATTAACAAATTGGTTCTTACTTGAATTCCCCCCCCCCCCACACACATATCTCCCTCACAGTATATCGTTGATTCTGGGGTTTACCCCTTTTTCTGTAAATCACTTCGTGTGTAATAAAAAAAAATTCCCTTTAGATATCTCTCTCTCCCTCTGTCTCCCAAATACCTAAAAGAACCAATATTTTTATGTACCGAAAACATTCGTTCTGAATTCGAAGGAGCCACAGACTAACAGATTTGTGGCGTCTCCATTGGTAGTCTATTAGACCCAATTCCAGCTGATTTTTTCTTCTGAATGATTGGACAAAATTTTGCCCATAATGTCTCCGTCCACGTTGTACAGATGTCTAGTGGATGATGTACTTTTTTCTTACGGAGCTTTAAAGTTTCGAATCCCCTTTGAAACAATTTAACTCTGCTCATCCACATCTTTCCGTGTCCCATGAAGAAGAAATCAACGGTTCTTTCGCATTTTTGATACTAGGATTACCTTCTAATAGCGTTTTATCCACAACAAAGCAACATGGAGTAGTCAGTAACTACAGCTCTCTAGTTTCTCACACATGGCTTACAAACGTGGTCTCGTAAAAACTCCAATCCGTCGAGCCAGAAACATTTTTTCCCTGGACACACTACGAGAAGTAGAAAAATTCCAGAAGAAAACTTAGCCACGAAGCGGTAACCCCAAAAGATTCATTGATATCCATAGTAAATAATCCCCAAAAGCTAACTCATCCCCAACTGTTCCTCGTAAAGCCGGACTGTGGTGGCCCGGTTGTTATGTCATCAAGTCAACACCCCGAGGAATGTGCGTTCGAATCCCACCACTAACGCCTAACTCTCGATTATGTGTTGAATGGTAGCCCGTTGATTGGCCACTTCCCCGTTCCTGAAAATTGTATCTTAGCATAATCAGCATAAAGGAAGTAAAAATGAAAAGTGAAAAGCAAAAAGTAAGAATCCTTTAAAGACGTTGCACTGAAATTCGAACTTATTGCCTCCATTGGTGAAAGTGATTTGGACAAACGTGTACATAGTTGGCAATCCAGTTATGCCTCACACAAATTGTATGCCAGTTCACCTGCTGTTGCGCTGATGTATGAATACACAAAACCAACTATCAATTATCACAGCGGCAAACCGAGCCTATTCCAAAGTGGTTAGTGAAGTCGATGACGCAACCCACACTCAGGTGGTCACACGTAACCCGGGGTCATCAATTGCAAAACACATGATAACTAGTCAAAGTAACCACATGAGTTGATTGTAACAGAATGACGGGATACTACGTCGTCATCCATCACACAATGTTTGACAGGATTATGGGGATTTAGTTTATGTAGAATAGAACTGTGTTCAACGTGAAAACTTGTCATTTAAATGGAACTGAAAGATTTTGTTCTCCTACTCAGCAGGTTTTCGCGAACCCATTTTCTTTGTGCAAATTTATTCCTTGTTCGCCGCGAAAACATGGCACACAAAATCACGTGATCAAATTTGTCATGGAATGAAGAGTAATTGGGTGAATGACAAAATTCTCGTATCATATCGTTAGGTGGGCGCCATATTACTTGTCATTATCATCATCAACATCATCTGTGCCTACACAGGCACCACCAGACTACACCCTACAAATGACGTGATGTCCACCACAAATGATGGAAGATGAATAGCCTCGAAATTAGCTCCGTGTAATGCTGACCAGACTTCCGTTTTCCCAATCAGTGTTTTTTTCATATCTTTATGCATAACACGTTTCACGTGACATATTAGTGATTGTTTCCAATGATGCGAGTGCACTGGAAAGTTTGTTTTCTTTGCATTTTCACTATCACCTACTATTAGTAGTCAAGTACGTTTTGTGATTTTTTCGCACCAACATGATGTGTGTTGATTAATAAAAATAAAAACGTATCTTAAATTAACCATTGCCTCCGTTTCATCCGACCGGTTCTTTTCCAGTATCTGCCGCGTGAGCAGTTGGTGAGTTTGTTACAAAAGTTGCAAGCGGAAAATACGCATTTGCGCAGTCAGCTATCCGATTGTCAAGAACGAAATCGAATATTACAACACACGCTCCCGTCAATGCTCAAGGAATTCCTCGCACGAACAGCCAGTCAGTGGACAGTAAGTTTAATAAATTGACCAAATTGGTTTCATCCTAGATATTTTTGATTTCATACCTATCTATTTTTGATCTCGCCTGAGACCTGTGCTGGAGTGAAAACATATGTTGTAAGCAGATCATCATTCTATTTGTGAAAAGTGACAAAGATCTCTGATTCGGGAGTGTTGCAGCCAGATTTCACTGAACCATCAAAAAGAATTCGACATAGTGGTGCTTCGTGAATTGCATCTGACTGCCGATTGGTATCCCAATGTGGAGGATCGCACTATCAATCTAAGCCCTCCTTCCGTAATGCCCTGTGACTAAGTCAACTGATTACATGTTTACAATTATGATATCCAAGGGATTCGATGAAATTAACATCAGACCTAAAGCATACCGAATCAAATAACTTCATGTTTTATGTATAATTCGACCGATTTAGAGAAAAGAAAATAACGATGTGATTTTTACTCACTACGGAAACATTTCCTGTAGCCCAACAAACTGCTCACGTTTGCGGATCACTGTCCGACGCGGTCCTCAACCCGGCTGGCCACGGATCAACCCACGGATGTGCAGTGCAGTCCAATTCATCCACAAGACGGTTTGAATTACTCCCAAGAGAGATCGAGATCTCCCGCTTACAAAGTTCAGGAAACACAAACTACGGAATTTCGTCTGAGATCTAGTGAGTCATCATACATATATTTCATAATAAATAGTATGTGAATGACTGAACAAAATTTCCCTGGAAGCTCACGACCATTTTCGCGGTTCTTGACGCTCTTCAGGCATGCGTAGTAGTAGTAGTAGTCTTTTGCAGATACATATATATATATATATATACATATATATATATCGGTCAGACGCATGCAACATTAGTCTCATTTTGGAAATACATTTCAGTCTCCAGTACCATACTTATATATTGATGGCTATGCATAATGTGTAATATTCCTGACTTAATCTGCCACATCTATGTTCTTATTTCTCCTCTATCACCGTTTGAATTTGCGCGACCTTGAATGTGGTGATAAACTTTGTAATAGTTCGAAAGTTACATCTGAGATTTCAAAAATATTTTATGCAAAGCAATATGGGAGTTAATTCTTTTTAATAAAAGATTCCTGTCCAATGAGGGTTTATTATGTTGAGCAGTAAAAACATAATTAGAATTTATTTATAAAAATGACTTATAGGCTTGATCCAGGTATTGTACATTCATCTCGTTCATGTTCTGTCTGCTCTTGGTCATTGTTGAACACGAGTCAGTCGCTTTGGGTATGATGACAAGACAAGACGCTTATTCAATGAGCCGCACATATCAAAGTCAACTTTGATGTTTCTTTAATTATATTTTTAGTTCTTTCAGTATTAGGGGTAGTTAATGCGTGAGCAGTTTCTAGCCAAATAATTTATCAAATTATTCAGACTAGAAACGTTTTCGGTAATTGACTTATCTACTGAGCATCGAATAAAATGAGGTAAGCAATTTAGAATACATACGTTCAACCAAATAAACGCTCTCATGAATCAGGAATGATTCATTAGAAAGAATGGATTTCCATGATGTTTTGCACAACATATTTTACAAATCTGAGCTGTAACTTTTGAACCACTACGAATTGTATCGCGAGCCATTCGAGATCGCGTAAATTCAAAAACGGTGATAGAAGTGAGCTAAGAACATTGCAGTGAGAGATAAAGTCGTGAATAAATACACTTCACCCAGTACGATCGGTATAAAGTTATGATATTGCAAACTGAATTGTAGTTCATTGAATATTCCCATCGTGACATTAAAAAAAATATTGTAGCGAACAAAGCTTGTTTTCGATAACTTCCTACTCGGGCTAATACAGTTATATATACGGATTCAAAATTATCAAATTAGTGTAATGGTCAAATGTGATGAATATGATTGGTTGATTGTGATCTTCTGATGTGTGGTTTGGAAATGTGAGGGCAGTGTTGTTGTTGTTGTTATTGTTGTGTGGTTCGGAAATGTTGATGGTCGGTGAATAGAGTGAGCTGTTGACGAACAGCTTTTGATGGGTTTGCTGGTACTTTGTAGATCACCGGCGTGGCTGATTACGGGTATAAGGAAAACGATTACAAGTGCAGTGGTAGAACACCTTGCAGACATCATCTAGCATCAAGCAAACGACGACGCTTTCAAGGTGATCTACAAAGTACCAGCCAACCCATCAAAAAGCTGTTCGTCAGTGACACCTTGCTAAAGCCGAGGCGGTGGTTATTCGCCTACTCAATCCATCCCTTTGTTCACAAAAACGATTCGACCAGTCACTTCGTTTACCCTGGCCTCAACCTGACACAGCTGACCGAAACCACGGTGACCTTTGTCATGACCCAGGGGCGCAGATCGGAAATGGAACAGTTCACTCTAACCATCAACCGTGGACAATTCCGAACGACACAACAATAACAACAACAACACTACCCTCACATTTCCAAACCACACATCACAAAATCACAATCACCCAATCATATTCATCACATTTGACCATTACACTAATTTGATAATTTTGAATCCGTATATATAACTGTATTAGCCCGAGTAGGAAGTTATCGAAAACAAGCTTTGTTCGCTACAGTGTTTTCTGAATCGTATTTCCGAATTGAGAGTAATGTCGCACGAGTTTGATGAACACCCGTACTTTTTCTAATCTTTAACTATCATATTGTTCCGTCAAACACCTGTTGTTGTGTGAATAAGTGATATTTATTTTCTCCTGTCTGTGTTCATGCTACAACCCCAATCAGCCGAACCTGAAATGGTCACCAATTCGCAACCGGTTGCTGCGCATATGCCATTGTTCTGTTTGGGCAATCATCTGTCTGTTCAACCGCCTAAAGAAATTGCCATATCCGCCTCCATGGGGGAAACGCTTAGCGATAAGGAATCCGGTTTCACACCAACGGATCTCATCCAGACCCCACCGATTTCGAATGTGAAAACCAACGGTCCGGACGAGCAGACAGACAGTCCGAACAGTAGAGGGCGTTTGGATCCGATGCGAGTCGAGATTAGTCGAACGGAATTCCGACGCATTGAGGCCACAATCCTGTCCGATCCGCGTGTTGTGGAGAGTCGGGATTGGGCTGCATACATGCAAGCAAACGAATGGACTCGTGCCACCTGTTCTCTCATGTCCGCCCTGTTCACATCCGACCAGATGGCACAATGTACTGTATTGGGTCGAGGTGTCAAAGAACCACGACAACGATTGCCTGTGGATCGAGCCACCTATATTGTCGGTAGGTGGACTACATTCGGCGCAGCCTTCCTGCCCCGGTAGGGCAGGGGCTACTACTGTTTATTCAGCCGCCTTATCTCCACCCTGAACAACCAATGTTTATGGTACCTAGCTTTTGTGAACGTATTGCTTGGTTTCCCTCAGACCGCCAGCTAATATTACAACCGTGGCGTTCTCCCTCTTTGGTTTTGTTTTCTACCTGGTTGTCAGACAATACCCTGGGATTAGGAAGAAAGTGTAAATAGAAACCAAAGTGGGTAAATGATATGCGCATGAAGCTATTGTATAAGGAGAGAACAATCACGGCAACTTACTGAAGAGGTCCGTATTCTACCACAACTTTTCGTATTAGGCTTTAACCAAACCCCAATACCCCATTAGTCTCGACCCGTGCAATCATTTAGCCTCAACGCACAAACTTGAATCTTACCGCTGTAGGCCAGTCAGATCAAAAAGTATCGGACTCATCAACTAGCTAATACGTCACATTTTATATTATATCATTGTTTTTTATAGAGAAGAGGAAGCAAAAATAATGATTATTCAAATGAGAATTGTTGTTACTGTTTTCTGTCCCAATTTCAAAAACCGGATATGGCTGATCTTGCCATCGGAACTTAAGTTCAGTCCGTGTTAACTGTGTGATTTGGGGTGGGATCAGGAGGGAGTAGAGGAGGTTGGGGAGGATGAGGATGGGCGGTGGGGGGGGGGTGGGGCATGGTAGGTTGAGTAACTTTACAAACTGTTTTTGGGTGCACAAGGGGGGATTATGTGTACGAATTCCAACCGCCTCTGCGGTGGCTAGGATGCGATTTTTAATCGGCTTTGATCTGCGACCTCGAACACAGTAGAGATGCAGGAATGCTTCACTCATACTCATTGTGTGATCGGACACGACGAGGTGTCAAACGATGGCACTTGTAATAGTTTGTAATAGTTCCCGAATTCGTGTCAATAGGCGCCTGCTCGTGCGGCCGAAATACGTTGCTTCGTAGGAACACGTCAACAGGCAAACACGAAATGAAACTGCAGAACCTGGAATCCTGTTCTTGAATAGCGAACACAAGATTGGTCTGGACGTGGATACGACACGTACTTTTGCCGCGTAAAAAGTATTCTCCAACGCAGTTCTCAGTTTGCTGCTTACCTACTCCGTGATTGTATCCACTTTAAATGGGAGCGAAATGTATTCCGGCTTCTTCTCTGCGTTTAAAAGGTTTCCCTCGGATGGTTATTTTGCAAAACTTTATCCACAAAACATTCTGGATGGTCATTTTGAAGGAAAGTACCACGAATGAATAATAGTTCTGCATTTTTGGCGTCATCGGTGCATATTTTTACCGCCCGGTTCACCAAACACTGAATAAGATTTTTCTTTCGTTTGAGTGACACAAAGCTTCCGAAATGGATATACTGGTCGCTACAAGTCGGTTTTTTATAAACCGATCTCTAAATAGAACCATTTGTGCAACGCTTTAGTCAGATATCGAGAAAACCAATCCCTTCATTAACCTGTTCTTCCAATGTGAACTTGATGTTGGGATGAGAGGAATTAAATATTCTGAGCAAGTTGAAAACCTTGACGTTACTGTCCACAAAACATAATATATCATCGACATATCATCTGCACAGCTTACATCGCTTAATCGTAGACTTCAAAACAATATTTTCTAGCTTGGTCATGAACGTAAACTGAACGTTCTGTGATGGGTCATCGAAAAAAGCTTGTTCACTAAACTGTATTTTTCATTCATTGTGTGTCGCTGGTATATTCCGAGTAGTCTCGGACTATTCTAAGGTCAACGAATGTTCAGACGTTTTATTTTCCACAAATCTTCCTTTTGCAAACCTTAATTAAGAAATGCAAAGGTATGGCCGCCTCATGCTGCATCACATGTTGATTGGAGAAGTTTGAAACAATGTGTCCTTATCGTCAAACGGTTTGACACATCTCGTACACAACGTCATTGTTTTCTGTGAATAAAAATCCCAAACAGAACACAAACGGTATAGCTTTCTACAGTTGGCTGCCCCGACTCGAATCAGAATGTGTGATGCATTGAAAAAAAACGCAATACTTCGATGCCATATCTCCAGTTAAAGTGAACTCCGTTCTTGAGACGCGGGTCCTCCCCCCCTCGTTTAGTACACCAGTTCCCAATAAGCCATAGACAAAACCCGAATTTCTTCAGCTTCGACCGTTGCAGTTATAGCAACTGTCACTGAATTAATAAGCCGATGATAGTAATGAAGGATATGTTTTTGTAAACGGTGTTTATTATCCTCTGCCTGTTATTGTATCCACCTCCGAAGAACAGAGGTCATTTTAAGTGAAGCACATTAGGGACTAGTTCACTGAAAATAATGAAACAATGCAATATTTACCAACAGAGTTAATGAAATGGGCACATAGTTTAAACTTTCTCCAATCAATATGTGATGCGACATTTCATACGATTACGACGATCAGCTGCGTAGAATGCAATCGACACACTTTGTCATTTCTTAAGCAAGCAATGACGATGATGATGATGATGATTCGGATGATGATGGTGATGTTGATGATTCAGATGATGATGATGATGATGATGAAGGTGATGATGAATCGGACGATGATGATTTTCTGCGACCTGAAGCAATGATTTCCCTCCTATTTTTGTCTGATTTTAGCCGTAATCTCCGAACGATTTCGGGTTGCTCCGACACGTATTCGAGCACGCATGGCTCAGAAATGCAAGGACGAACGACGCAAGCATCGAAATCATTTATTGATGAGCATGCAACTTCATTGAGGTAAGCGAGGCAACTCAAGGATACACATTTGTCCAATGACTCGTGAATTATGCACAGAACTGATAAAGAACCTCGATAATTTCCAGATATCAGATAGTCCCAGTTTTATTTTTACTCGCTATTCAAGGAAATCGCCAACAGTCTGATCCGTTTCACAAGGAGAAAAGCTCTTTTTGAGACATAGAGCAATTCAGTGTCACGTGACAAACCGAGATAAAATTGTTTCCTGGTTATTCGCTCGGTATCTCACATTTTGTTAGACCACGTGAACAGTATTTATACCAATCAGAAAGCATTCTTTTCGTACCCTTTTGTGTGATATTTCAACAGCGTTCGAACTCGAATACGGAGAAACTCAGATTTCTAACTGAGGCCTCAGTGAAAGACGTGAAATCTGGTTGAATTAAGACGAGCTGTTCACACAGGGATTGTTACTAGAAGGCGTATGCAAATAGACATCACAAATAGCAAATGGTCATTGTTGTTGGATTTTTAGTTGCCAATAGCATATTTGTTACCTTCGTGACACATTATTCAACCAATGAAATTGCATGTGTGCGTGGTCCTACCGGATTCGTTGGAAATTCCTTGTCTCCGTTGACCGTGTGGAAACCTTAGCACCCAGTGCACTGAGTAGNCATTCCCCGAAGGACCTCATTCATCTCCGAAGCTCTGGTGTGTGTGATGAGCTTTTTCATATGACAATAGTTGCAGATTCTTACTCTGCGTTTGCCAATCTCCTTAAATTTCTTCGTAGTTCCTTATCCTACTCCGTTTTTATGTCCCCGGTTAGCATTTTGCTTGAGATATCCACTGGCAGTCGATTTAATTCTTGGACATCTTTTTAGTGGAATTTTAGCAACTGAATGCGTACGTTCGGGTAATTTCCCCTAATTTCAATTGAACTATCTATATTACTAATGTTAGTCAATCATACTCGTTTGAATTGTCAGACTAGTTCTGCTAGTCTGTAAGTACGTACAGATAGACCAGAGCTATATCCATCAGTGTTATTCAAAATTGTTTACCTGAAAATTTCTTCTACTATGCTTTTGCATACCATCTACATAGACGTAACGAATTACGCCAAATACGAAAGTCTGAGATCAACAGAGAAAATGATTTTAAGTTTTTTCCTTAGATTTCTGATACTCGCCCGCACGACACGGTGGTCAGATTTCAATCCCGGCATGTTAAACTCAGATTGCATAACTGTAATAGTTGATGTACGCACCGATCACCAATTACGAATCACATATCAGATATCACGGATGCCACGTAATCACTGAATCACACTGGCACTCGCACAACAGTATCCCACATAACCGAGACACGAGTAAATGCCCAATCATGGGCTCGTATTCTTGGTGCCGCTCAGCTTCTGTCTGGGTCGCACGGCTTCTGATTGGTCCGTACAATCGGACCATGGTTCGTAGTCATTATCACAGTTGTCCAGAAACTGTAACGTCATCCTGTAAGCTAAGATCACCACAGTGATGCAATACTATCAGGAACTACTAATTCTGATCAAATAACTGGGGTATTGTGGATAAAAACAAACCAGTTTGAGCCTGTTCCATGAGATGGCGAACACAATACACAGGTCGCTTTCTTTAATCATTATGAGTAATCATTTCACAGTCACTGGCTTTCGTTCGCAGGCATATGAGTATACCAACTGACTGCAAATAGGCTGGCAAAGATAGTGCGCGTAATCAGGATGTGATTTAATTAGACATTCGAGCAGACAATCAGTCAATGAGTGTGGCCAGCTCATTAGGTACGAAGTACGACTGGTTGAGGTAAATTGATTTGGAAACTAACACATTATGACATGCGTGCGTGATGTCGAAAACGTTAACGATCAAACAATCAATAGCAACTGGATCATGTGAATTGGTCTCGATCAATGATATGATTACAACAGAACCTGTTTCATTTCCTTTAAGACACGTCAGTGGTGCGTACTTCATTGTGTCCCCGTGTCAGGACTCGAACCGTCAACCTTTGGGTCGGGACTTCAAACCCTTACCCCTGAGCTTCACGGCGGACGGTTATCACCTTGTGCGAATGCTTCAATAAATTTAGACAGTGAACGTTTGAAATCTCGCAAAACTGATGAGTTCCAAACAGGACTAAATAGCTGTCCAGTGCTCATTGTCGGCTATTTGAAACACTTCCGTCGCATTTAAATGTATTAAACCTAGTGGTGGGATTATCGATCACCGAAATAGTGAAACCCATACACACTTGAGATCATCACCAGTACCTAGTGCCTGTGAAAAACCGAATAGATTATTCTAAAATTACTACTCTGAGGTGGAATCATTCTTCAAATGAAATTTAACTCACCCTTTGGTACTGCTGAAACGAATTTAATAGTAGTAGTCAAACGCACGACGTTGAAAGACGCTAAAACACATTGGTGACAAAGGTATTTTGTTTCTGCGTATGCCATAATTGTGTAGTAATTGGTAATCAATATCGAATAAAATTGAAAGAGGTTGAGTCTAGGTTAGCTGACCCCAGCCTAGTATTAGAATGCGGCAAAAACAAAACATACTACTTTTAACTTTTGAGCGACTGACACCTGTACGAGGATAAATCGGTTTCCTGGGTTTCTCTAATGATGAAAGTCCACGCGTGGCGATCGACAGCAAGGTTGGCGCAGCTCCAGCCTCAGTTCTGGTTCCAGTTACAAATTCCATATACGGATTGGAGGCCAAGTCGTTTCATATCCCTCTTGATCATATTACTCCAGGGCTGCATTTGGTCGCTGAGTCGGCAACGCCAATCGCGGATGGACGCAGGAGCTAGAACCTGATGCGAGGGTTGAATGTCAGGCTTTCGGAGCACGTGGCAAAACCATTGAAGGCACTGGTGTTATGGCATTTGGGAAAGCTTGCGGATGTTCGAGCAGCGCCGTTGAATCATTAGCAACTCAATCTCTCCAATTTAATTTCGAGATGCGACGTAAGCACCAGCGGTCAAAGACATTGAACTTCATTGTATCTTGTACCCTTATCGGCCATGTTTCACAAATACAATTTAGAATGGGGTGGACGAAAGCTTGATAAACTACACGTTTGGTCGTATGCTTATTTCGCATTGGTTCTACAACAGGCTGAGTAGTTGCACGATGGCTGTTCCAGCTCAACTTACTAGAAGTTGAACCTCATCACCCAGTCTAACCGTTTAGTTTGCTTGTAGAGCTAGGATACTTGAAAACTTGAGCTGATTCCATAAGCTACCATTGATCAAGAGGATTGGTATCGCGGTAGAAGTTTCCGTTTAAAATGTCTCTGTCTTTTACGTATTGCTCTCTCGGCCAATGGTATGGTCCAGTCGTTTGATGTAGCTGACAACAGGTTGGAGGTTGTTTATAGTGTCCCCCAGTAACATGACATCGCCTGCAAAGACGAGGTCCGTGAACCGCATATCTGGGTTGAGCCTGCACTTTGTTATAAGCAATGAATGTTTTCTACACTATCCAATCTTCGGTGTCGTTGAACGATATCGGCGATAGAGGGCAGTCTTACCTGACTCCAGGACTTAAAGTAAACTCAGCTGACCCTTCTCCGTCGGGAAGGATGCGGTCCCGGGTCCCTAAGTAGTATGATTTTAATCGTCTGATAAATTTCTCTGGCATCCGGTCGGACCGCAATATGTATCACGTGGATTCGCTATCGACAGAGTTGAAAGTAGAGCAGAAGTCAATAAAAGCACGCTGCGCTAAATTGCTGGAACTTGCAGTCGTCCTCTTCACGTTTTTGTGTGCTTTTAGAACTACTTGAAGCCTGTGGACAGCCAAGTCGGTTCCATGGGCTTCAAAGTGCTTGCTCCATTCTCTAATTTTCTGCTCATTCCTTCAAAGAAGTAAGCCCTTGGTGTTGCACAACGGTGGCTCCGAGGTCTGTGTCCTTCATATTGCGAAATGGATTAGACGAAGTAGCTCTCCAAAGTCCGCTGCGGCGGTTTCAGTCTCCATGCTCTCTGCAGTTACCTTCCAGTATTGTTTACGATGTTTCTTGGCGGAGGGTGTAGCTTGACGACGTAGACTACGAAATTCCGAAGATCGGATCAGCCTCTCTTGACTTTTCGGACAACTGCAGTGTATGCTCGGAAATCCAATTGTATTCGTGGTGACAAATCTTACCCAACTCCACCAGCATCGCTTCTCTGATGGACGTTTTCACTGTGGACTACTGCATGTCAGCATTTTTGTCATCGAGAGAAGGTGTGGCTATTGGTGTTGGTATATTCTCCGAGCTGGGAGTGCAACTTCCTCGAAGGGCGTAGACTATGCGGTTCTCATGTCCACTTTCTGCACCACAATAGCAAAGGGGCAGTCTTCCATCGAATAGGCTTAGCAGGAAGGTACCAAAGTGTAATCACTCTGTAATGTCATTCATCGTCATTGGAGTACCGAGTCAGTAGGGGTTTTCTAAAGTGCTGAAAATGGGTGTTGGCCAGGATCGGCCGGTTAAAGTCAGCAATTGCGGTCAGGCGTTCGTCATTTTCGCAACGCTGAATAAGGTCCAACATCTCTAGAATATGCTGAGTATGCTAGTCTGATAGACTAGCGTGGGCATTCTAGCGTCCTGCTATAAGGAGAATATCGCCTATCGGGCTGTGGTTGACTGCGTCTTGAACTTGATTCTGGAATGCTTCTTCGATGGGCTCTTCCACATGTCACGTTGGTGCATCGATCTACTGCAATCCTGGGAGAGATTGGTTACCAGGATTTCATGTCATCGTTATGCTACTCCGTGCGAACCGTAGTTTTCAGCTGGTCCGGTGAGCTTTATCAGGGAGGTTATGTCGGAATGTGATACATTGGTTTGTTTTATTCTACAGTCAGCTAAGCGGACTTCAGACAGATAACTGATGTCGACTTTGTAGTCGTGTAGTGAACTCCTTGTAAGAAGTCGGTTTCATGTGTCTAGAAGTGTTCTAACATTCCATCAAGCTACCCGAATGATGGATGTTGTTTCCGGAT